ATGCCATTGCATGGGAACGCCACAAATAACCTGAAACACGTTTTTCCAAAGAACACTTCACTCCATATGCTGCCGTGGACGGGAAGTGCAAAACAACTCCACGTAATCAGACAAAATGTCCCTGTCATGATGTTCTGCGACAACAACAACAACAATAAATGACATTTGTCTAGCACCTTTCACGTCTGGAGGACGTCCTAAAGCGCCCGAGAGTCAGGGGTTTGGACCCGAGCTGGGGGTTGGGATCAGGAGAGGTGGAGGGGTAGGAGGGATGTTACGTGCTAATGAAAATGGCCCAAATGGTAGCTTGCAAGCACAGATCAACATTTAACCCTAGCGTATGTTCAGGGAGCCACTACCACAACACCAGCATTTACACAGCGCCCTTCACGTGGGGTAGCATCTCTCTTTTACTAAACATAGTGAAGTGGATCCCCAGATAATACAAGCTGGGCTACCTTTGAGATCTTTTGCCTACAAAATGCACAATCAAGACAACCAGTCCTGTGAAGTGCTCCGAGGTGCTATATCAAATGCGAGGATTTTATTTAAATATATACGTGAAACCTGAAATTGAGAAATCTGAATTGTGGACTAAACTAACTAAGATAAACTGACAATTTACGCTAGAGTTATTGCAGAGAGGTAGTTTAGCTCTAATCTCTACAATTCTAGCAAGAATCTCTCCAGTCTTGCCAAGCTTCAACTTGACAAACATCAGCTAATCTACCAGGGATGAGGAGTTTGGCCACCAGAGAGCCACAGAGCGATCGATGGCCATGGAGGAGGCAACAAGTTCTACATGGACAATCTGTTTGCAATACAGAGCACCCTCCAACACCCCACCCCACGCTTGAGCCGCATTGGAGAATCATCCTAGACAAGGTCTGCTCAAAGTCCCGACTGCTCTCCAACATCAACTTGCATTTACATAGCGGCCTTCACGCAGGCTAACATCCTGGAGCGCTTGACAGTGGCGGAGTCTGACCCCAAGCCACGGGGAGAGGGAGGGGGGAGGTGACCGTAAGCACAATCAAAAAGGAAGGTCTTCAGACAGGATTTGAACGTGGGGAGGGAGGGGGCAAGGCGGAGGGATTGAGGGAGAGAGTTCCAGAGTTTCAGGGCGTAGTGGCTGAAGGCAAAGCCACCGATGGTGGAGCGGAGGGCACGAGGGACAAACAGGAGACCGGAGCCAGCCGAACAGAGGAAGTGGGTGGCGGAGTCGGGGGTAAGCAGGTCAGAGAGGTAGGGAGGTGCCAGGGCATGAAGGGATTTGAAAATGGCTGAAAGGATCTTGAAATGGCTCCGTTCGGTTTTTGGGAGCCAGTGGAGCCTGGCAAGGACTGGGGTGATGGGAATATGGAGTTTTGCTCTGCAGCCAGTTGCACGATATGTAACACTATGTTACATGATATATCCTCCTGAATTGTTATGTGTGACAGGAATAATGTTACATCTGCAATTACGTGCATGAGAAAAATGTTCTGTACAATGGAGCACATCTCTCAACAACTGTGGAACATTACAGGCGGACACTCCCTCCAGCTGCTGGTTGGTCCCAGATTCAAGGTGAGGGCTGCTCGAAATCAGTTTATATCAACATGATTATAAGTCACCCAAAAATTAGAACTGATGGATTCGACAGGCGGAAGCCCCAATAGATGGGACTGAACTTGTGCGTTCACTCTTGTGGGTATGGATGTGTGTGTGTGTGTGGACAGGCGGTCAATGAATGAGACGGGCAATTTACTCAGAATTTAAGTTGGAAGAACCATTGAACATTTAAAGGACTTTAGGGTATGGTGAACAACAATAACAAAAACTTGGATTTATATAGTGCCCTCCACACCAGACGGCATCTCGGAGCGCTTCACAGTAACAGATCCCGGGGCTGAGCCAGGGGGAGGGGTAAGAAGGTGACCAAAGGCACGGTCGAAAAGGTCTTCAGCCGAGCCCTGAAAATGGGAAGAGAGGGGGCGAGGTGTAGGGAGTGAGGAAGGGAGTTCCAGAGCATCGAGGTGTAGTGGCTGAAGGCACGGCCGCTGAGGGTGGAGCAGAGATTGGGGGACAAGGAGGAGGCCAGATCCGGTGGAGCGAAGGCAATGGGCACTGTTTTGAGCAGAGAGGTCAGAGAATTCGGAGGGTGCAGAAGAGTGCAGGGAATTGAAGACAAGAGTGCAGTCAGTGCAGTCTGGCAAGGACTGGGGTAATCAGGGAGCGGGGTTTGGTGTGAGTAAGAATACGGGCGGCATTCAACAACTGTGGAGTCCTGTAGGTCAGTGGTTAGAGCACTCTCTTTGCAAGTGAGAGACCTGAGTTCAATTCCAGGCAGAGGGCGAAACCTTGGGCAAGTTTCCTTACTCCACACAGAGCCTAATAATAATCCCTCCAAAAAAAAAACAATAATTAAATTGGTCATTTTCAATCTACGACTGTTTGTGGGACATTGCTGTGCGCAATTGGCTGCCGCGTTCGCCCACAAATATACAGTCAATTCACTTTACAGTGTGTTCTGTGAAGCGCTTTGGGACGTCCTCCCGACGTGAAAAGCGCTATATCAAATGCAAGGATTATTATTATTATTATTATTACAGGTGGACACTCCCTCCAGTTGCTAGGTGGTCCCAGGCTCAAGGTGAGGGTTGCTCGCAATCAGTTTATATCAACTGGCATGAACCGACTTAAGGCTTAGGCCTTAAGTTACCCGCAGTTGTGAGTTGACAATTCATCAGAAATTAAGAGAGAAAACCTCAGTGTTGTACTGGATATAATAATAATAATTCTTGCATTTGATATAGCGCCTTATGTGTGAGAGACGTCTCAAAGCGATTCACAGAGTATACTGTAAAGTGAATTGACTGTATATTTTGTGGGTGAAACACGACAGCCAATTGCACACAGCAGCGTCCCACAAACAGTTGTGGATTGAGTGACCAAATATTTTTTTAAAGATTCATTATCCCTGGAAAAACAATCCGCCAACAACCAGGTTCCTACTTACTGTTAGGTAAACAGAGGCGTGTGAGGTAAGGAGACTTGCCTGAGGTTTCACCCTGCATCGAACCCAGGTCCTCTCGCTTGCGAGGCGAGTGCTCTAACCAGTAAGCTTCAGGACTAATTGAATGGGCCTGCCACTAATTTGCTCAGTGGATGCTTTTAGTTAACCACACAAGTGTTTACTGCAATTTTCTACTTAGACTGAAATGTAGGATTATTATTATAATAAATGTGAAAATTGATGTTGATACCCCACCTACACTTCACCTCGATGTGTAGACTGACATTCACTGAGTACAGGTAAGCAGGCATCAAATCTACCAATAGATCAGAGTACATTATAAATAAAAGAAGCCTCGGAGTACATTATAAATGAAAGATCTTCTATGTTTTGTTACTTTGAAAAAAAATTTAAGGCAAAATAATAATAATAATCGTTGCATTTGATATAGTGTCTGTCTTATAATGTCATTGAGACGTCTCAAAGCGCTTCACAGAATACACTGTAAAGTGAACTGACTATATTTTGTGAGCAAAATTAAGGACAGGACAAAAATTAAGGAAAATGATTAAGGACAGATTGCCGTGAGTAATGTTCCTCATATCGGAAGAAATAAAAAAATGATTTTTGTAATTCTGTAAAAAAAAATCCTGCACAGATGTTTGTGGATGGCTAATGGGAGCATTACGTAAAATGTCTTCTACAGATCACAAACATCTTTTACCGACTGCTGCTTTCACATACACACGTTGTCTGTTCTTCATCTCCCCCTCAGACTGACACAGCTTATAAAACAAAGTCGCGCTGAAACATAACCTATAATTATCAGAGCTTTCAACATAGAGGTGGATAAATGGATCTCAAAATAATGTTGTACACTGGCAGATAGGTTTGATCTGAAGTCTAATTTGGTTTAAGTGACCTTTCGAAATGACATTTCATTTATCGGAAAGAGTATATTTAATTTTCATTAGAATGAAAAATGCTAATCGTATCACAGTTTGTCCTATTCACACTGAATACCAAATATTGTGGTTGGGGAGACATTCGGTGGATATTTATTTTAGCACTCCTAAATCAGTGTTAATACAGAAATGATTGAGAACGGCAGGCTTGAATTTCTTCAGAGGTATAGTGATTACTAAATAATTAATTAAGAGTCAATTACATCAGTACTTCTTAAAATTCAGTTATCTTAAAATTCAGGGCTTATTTGCTTGAGAAAACCTTGATACTAAGCAGGATTTTACTGTGTTAATTCCTTGCAGGCTTTTCTACCATTAAAATCATTGTTTAACTGGGACATCATTGACACTTGGAAACTATTAACACCTTTAGTACCAAAAAACATTAATAAGGTAACTGTTAACTTAGGCATATTTTGACTCATGTTGGTTAGGTGACCAGAGAGTTAAAATGTTATCGTGATAGTGTGTCAGCCATGGATCCAAAGGTCAAATGCTTTGTGTGTCAGTTGCTAGTCCTCCCAGCTCTGAATCAGAAAAGTGCTGGTTCAATCCCCACCTCAGCACCTTTCACGTTGGGAGGATGCCTCAAAGCGCTTTGCAGGATTATACTACAAAATGCAGCGACTGTGTGTTTTGTGGACCAATATCAGTAGAAAGCAGAAAATTGGCCATGACTTTTGGGTATCACTTTAAACCACGTTGATGATTTTGTGATACTAGGCTTTTATTTTGTTTAGTCTCCTCGTGGGGTAAATTCAGTGCAAAAATCGATCCAGTGTAGAGTAAAAAAAANCTCTATTTAAGGCAGCTGAAACCCACCACGCATTGATGAGTGCTGCGAATGTAAGAATGAGAGCCAGCACTGAACCCTCCCACCAAAGTTAATGCAAATGTGCCACCTTCACTGATATCATCCATATCTTTGTTGGCCTGTTGGTCAGCGACTGGAATGAAGAGCCATAATTTAACCCTTAAGCAAGTACTGCAAATCACATACACACACCCCCCCATTATTGATAGAGGTCAAACGGCTCTTGAAATGTTGTGCTATTTATTAATAAAGCACGTAAAATTATTTAATGAACACCTTGCATTTAAACTACACTTGTAATTTGTCATAGAGACGTTGGTTTTCAAAACCGTACCTTTCTTGAAGTTATTAATTTAATCATAGTCGGAAACAATTAACTATAAAGGAATTGTTCCTTAGATTTCCTTAGGGTACATCATTTGAATCCTCTTCCTTCTGTAATGAAACAAAGTTGACGAGTAAAAGACTGATTTACAAACTATTTTGGGGTTTCATGTCTCCTGCAATTCTGTTTAAAACAACAACAACTTGTATCTATATAGCGGCGTTCAAGTGTTAATTGACAGATATACCTATATTAATAGTAATCCATGCATTTGATATAGCGCCTTATCACGTCGTTGAGACGTCTCAAAGCGCTTCACTAGACACACTGTAAAGCAGATTGAGTGTGTGTTTTGTGGGCGAAACGCGGCAGCCAATTGCGCACAGCAGCGTCCCACAAACAGTCACGGATTGAGTGACCGAATCATTATTCTTATTCTTACTTATATCTATGGTAATCCCTGACTCTGTGGTCATATCAGGTCTGTACGTATCAGGTCACGTGGATGTGCCATTGAGCACAACACAAACATTTCAGTGAAAAAGCTGCTCAAATATCAGTGTAGCGTTATTTCTGTAACACTAAACCTGACCCATTAAATGCAGGTTTCATTGAAAATAAACCTTGACCTGTTACTTCCTGTTCTAATTTATATCTTAATATATTTGTTCATTATGAACGAGGTGGGGGGGAGGTGGGAACATAATTTTAGAAAACATCCTATAACATTATAAGTGGCTCACATGCATTGGTCGATGAGGTTTCTAAACTTTGTTGAACTGTTTGTAGGGTGTATTGAGCTGCATAGAAGGGATTCATTTTGTAGTATTTTTAAGAACATGAGACTAAGGTTCTTCTAGTTTGCCTTCCACCATCCCGGCAGTTGCTTGACACGTCGTGTCCCAAACTATATACTGTCTGCTAAATATTTTCATGTGCTATTCACAAGGTATGCAACGTAGTGACAATCTAGTTCTGTCGCCCCGTCTTTACACTCACTCCTTGTATTTCTGAGAGGCTCACTATTCATCTGTCACTCAAGCCAACCTGGAAATAGGATCGAGGGATTGAAACAGAGGATCAACTCTCTAATGAACGACATTGAGCCTTGGTAATTACACCGAGTCATCGATAATACATGTGCACAGTTAGACCGTTTGGCTCCTGCACCGCACAGTCACAGACAATCTACCTGGCAATGTTACCAGCCATTAGTTTCAGCCTGGACATGGTGATGAATGGTTCGTCTTCAGGCACAACTCTGTTAGATGATTCTATGGTGGAGCCTGGAGAGAGAGCGAGAGAGAGAGAACAGGATTCACATGAATAGACTCACTGGTGTGTTCTATCTTAACAAAACTCAGCAGATACAAGTGCCCACATCCACCATAAAGTACTACATTACACAAACTCTTATCTTGGTCACAGCAGGGCTCCGAGACGCTACCCAACATAAGGCTGCTTTATAAATAATAATAATAATAATAATAATCCTTGCATTTGATATAGGCCTTATCACGCCGTCGAGACGTCTCAAAGCGCTTCACAGAATAGACTGTAAAGTGAATTGACTGTGTATTGTGTATATAATGTGTATATATAAATGCGACTCGCTATTGCTGTTGTTGATAATAAAGAGCTTTATTGATTTAATTTGCCCACCATTATATCAACAACAACTTGCATTTCCCCTTCACGCGGGGTAGCGTCCTGGAGTGCTTCAATCGGATATAAAAAAACACACAACAGAGAAATAAATACAGGAATGGTTACAGATAGAAAGAATGAATTGACGCAGATGATAATAGCAATAATAATAATATAATCCATATCAGCACTGTGACTAGCAAGCAAAGCGTGGTAGGGGAAAAGTGTACCTTGTCAGAACACTGAATTCAAAATGTTGCTTTGTGTTTCCCACACACTTGCCTCGGCATAAAGAGCTTCCACTGCTTCAGGTATGACTAAACTATAATCCAAACCTGATAACTTTCCGGAAAAAAATCATTAACTTCTACAGCCGGAGGCTTGGACCGTTTTGAACGTTTTAATTTTGAAACAGTGATGGAGTTCACTCACAGATGGCTGAATGGGACACAGGACCTAAGGGCGAAAAGGGAATGAAAATGCGTGGGTGCGTCAAGGACCGACTGCTCCAGAGCGCGGGTGCTGAGAGATTTTCACCGGGGTCTAGATTTACTCCATTCAGGTAGCGCTTCTCAGCGTCCAGTCCAGAACTTGGCAAGTTGCTGAATTCGGTCTCAAATCCCGAAGCTGTTTTTCTGTAGTTATTAAAAGAAACTTGCAAGGACCTGGCTTCTACATTCAGGCAGCGTTTAAGAATAGGTCCAAATCTGGGCGCTCTGAAATATTGTGGAGTCCTGTAGCTCAGTGGTTAGAGCACTCGCCTCGCAAGCGAGAGGACCTGGATTCGATTCTCGGGCAGGGAGAAACCTGAGGCAAGTTTCCTTACTCCACGCGCCTCTGTTTACATAGCAGTAAGTAGGAACCCGGTTGTTAGTCGATTGGCAGATCGCTTTCCAGGGGGAAATGATCTCTCTCCCGCAAAATAATAATAATTTGGTTACTCAATCCACGACTGTTTGAGGGACGTCACTGGGCGCAATTGGCAGCCACGGTTCGCCCACAAAATACACAGTCAATTCACTCTCCAGTATATTCTGTGAAGCGTTTCGAAATGTCTCAACAATGTGATAAGGTGCTACATCAAATGCAAGTATTATTATTATAATTATTACTATATAGAATAAATCTAGAGGCAGGTGGAATTTCTCCTCCTAGACTATAATACACACAACATTTGGGGAGCAAGTATTATATGTTTCCCTTCTCATTCATTACTGCTTTAATATTTTAACTGCGGGTGGGGGGGTTGTTTTTTTTTAACAGTATGGTTTAGAATATTTTTAAACCAATCTTGTATATAAGCAGCGATGAGAGGATAATGCTGGTTGAAGATTTATACTGGAATGAAGGCTTGTCCTGTTGCAAACCGGAGACCACAAAAGCAATGCTGTAATTAGATTTTGTCTGCTACCTGTCAAAGTCTTCTTCAAGCTGTTTCGTGTCTTCCTGGCTGCAGTCTGCAGATGTTCCTTGTGCTGATTCTCTTGCTGAAGCAGCATTAGATACGCCGTGATCTCTGCAATCCATTGTTAAGAAAACTAAATATACATCCAGCTAAAACGGAACTGTCAATGCTGGGTTGTAAACCCTGTACTTGGGGAAAGAAAAGGAAACGAAGAAAATGAACCAAACTAAACCAGTTCTGGATTTGCACGGACGTTCCATCCAAATGACTGTGTTTCATTCTGTCTGTCACAAACCATGGCAGCTAACGCTCTCGTGCCAGTGTTACAGACTGAGGCTAAAAAGAGCAAATGCTACATTATCTTAGCCATGCACCTATGGTGCACGTTGAGTAAAAGCACATGCTAACCAGCAGGAGATGCACTTCGCTTGTCAGGAACCTCCAATCTGAGATGAGAGCCAGTCCTCTCTTTGGCACTAACTTGTCCTGCTCCGGAACGTCAGCTCCTCTGCTTTGATGGGGATGCACCTTGCCCTGTTCACTGCACATACGTTGACACTGAAACAGGCACAAGGTATACATGCGAAATGTATAGGCATTCCTAGTGCGTAGTGGTTAGAGCACTCGCCTTGCAGCGAGAGGCCTGGGTTCGATTCCCGGGCAGGGCGAAACCTTGGGCAAGTTTCCTTATTCCGCACGTTCATTTTCTGGGGGTAATAATTCCTCCAAAAAAACTCCTCCACGTTACAATATATTATAGGATCGATGTGAGTGACCATTTAGATTTCATGTGCATTGGGGTCACCCGCTCATATAAATAAACCCCCTCTTGCGCCGTGGCAATGTGTCCATTTATGACTGTCTTTTCAAACCAAGGAACTAGCTAATATTTCAAACAAATCTACAAATTATTGTGATGCATCATTTTGAAACATTCACAGGGAATTTGTTAGTTGCCGTCATTGTCAGACTCCTCCACTGTGAAGCTCTCCGGGACGCTATCCCCCGCGAAGGGGGCTATATAAATGTAAGTCGTCATCGTTGTTGTCGGTGTTAAGGACCGCTTTGGCTCAATAGGTGCCATCATCGCATTTGCATGAACTTGAAGGTCAGAAGCAAGGCAGTGCCTGGGAAGCGAGCAAAAGAAACACCTTCTCTCTGCGACTCAAGAGAAAACAGCTCTTCCTCACAGCATCAGGAATCTCTTTTGAAGACGGGCTGAGTTAAAAGGTCTGGGAAAGTGGTGGAGACTGCCATGCCCTGTTATTTTTTTATTAGATTCATTTAACCGATATGCCACAAGGTACCAACAAATGATTGTTATAGGATACGGGCTGCGGTTGTCAGTGAAACAGAGGCACTTTGCTGAGGAGTGACAGACTGTTCAACCAAGACTTGCTGCAGTTTCTTGTTGCACAATGGAGCTGCGTTTTCAAAGGCCACTGCAAATTCTGTGCTCGTCAGATAACTCGGCTCGGTCCCAGAATGCTGTCGGAGGCTGGCTTCACACTGAGGGATATGCACAGGTAGTATTCAAAGAATAATTAAATCGCATTACTGTTTAAAGTATAAAAGTAAAACAAAAATCGCTCTATTTAGGGAAAATGTTAAAACGACTCGAGTGACATTTAATCTGACACGTTCTTTGTCAACGCACAACTGTGCTGGCTTTGGAACCGTGTCTTCTCCTCACTATTCTGAAATTCTTCGATAATGCCTGTGCTAATTATTCAACTAAGTTGAACAAAACAACCCCGGGGTTGTCTGGTTGGCTTAGACGTTGAGATACCAGCTTGCAGCCCTTAGGTAGTGAGATGCACAGCAAGCATTGCCTGACTCTGAATCCGAAAGGGAGCTTTTTACTAATGTGGCTCAGTTGGTAGCACTCTTGCCTACCAGTCAGAAGGTTGTGGGTTTAAACCCTACGTTGGAGCTCAGCGTGAACTCACTGTGTGAGCTGACACTCCAGGCCAGTGCTGGGGATGTTCTGTATCCCATTTTCAGAGGTGATGTCCTTCGGATGACACATTAAAGTCGAGGTCCCGTCTGCCTGTTCAGATGGATCATAAAGATCCCATGGCATTATTGGAGAAAGAGAAGGAGTTTCTCCTGTTGTCCTGGCCAACAATCCCCCAAATATAATTGACAGTTTGTGGGACATTCCTGTATGGAAATTGGCTGCTGTGTTCACCCATATAATGGCCAGTAATACATTGTATTCTGAAGACGTCCTCCCGATATGAAAGGCGCTATATCAAGGATTATTGTATTATTATAAGACATTTCAATGCTGTTGCTTACCTTGTTAAACAGTGGCTCAGAGTTTCTCAAGATGAGGTAGAGAACATATTGAACCACTAGTGTCTTTGAAATGTGGTTTTCACTGAAAGCAACATAGCCCATCACCATCTCCTCCAGCTCCTCACCCTGGGAAAAGGTCAGAAGAGGTGCGATCATTGTCAAAGCCCATGTTACACTTGGGATAACTATAATAATAATCCTTGCATTTCACATAGCGCCATATCACGTGTTCGAGATGTCTCAATACGCTTCACAGCATATGCTGCAAAGTTAATTGACTGTATATTTTGTGGGCCAAACACAGCAGCTAATTGTGCACAGCAGTGTCCCACAAACAGTCGTGGATCGAGTGACCAAATTATTATTATTATTATTTGTTTTTGAAGGGATTATTACCTCCGGAAATGCGATCCGCCAATTGACTAACAACCGGGTTCCTACTTACTGCTAGGTAAACAGAGACGTGTGGAGTAAGGAAACTTGCCCAACATTTCGCCCTGCCGGGAATCAAACCCAGGTCTCTTGCTTGTAAGGCGAGTGGTCTAACCACTGAGCTACAGGTCTCCATATAATAGATAGATCCAGTAAACCTCACATAAGTCATTATCAGTTGCGACTATGCATTTAATAAGACTTATGCAAAGTATGAATGATGTCAAACCTGCAGAGAACATAAACTCTTCAACCGGACTTGGGCAGATGTAATGTACGGCTCAGGCGATTATATGATTTATACAGATCAGACTTATGCGAGTTTTGCTGTAGGATATATTTATGAACCAAAGCAGAATTATTAGAAAATAGACCAGCAAACTGCATGTAAAATATATTACTATTTTAAACAAGTCAATTCAATTGGCGATTAACTGTTCGACTGCTGGCAGGTCTAATGAAACTGCAGATTAATTAGAGACTGAAACTATTATACTTCTCAAGCACATCCCCCAAGCACCCCGTTTTGCCCACAAAATATACAGTCACTAAACTTTACAGTGTATTCTGTGAAGCGCTTTGAGACGGTTCGAAGACATGATAAGGCGCCGTATCAAATGCAAGGATTATTATCATTATAAATGAAAAGATGGGTTAACATTTCTTTGTGGCTGACACTTCACGAATCGTGCTGATGAAAGGTGAAGGATTTCACTGGAAATATTGACTTCTCGTTCTCCTTCAGGGAGTGGGCGAACTTCTGTAAACCTCTATAGATTTTCACTTCAGATCGGCAAATGTTACCACCTCCCGTGGATACATGTCGCGCTGTAACTATCGCACATGCCTTTTCCTGCTTGATACTGCAGGGCAATTTGACGAGTGTCTTATGTCTACATAGTCCAAAGCCTTCGCCAGAGATGGGTACACATGGACAGGTAGAAGGTGATCCCGACAACCGGAGATCCGGAATGGGGAGAGACGAGAAGATTATTTCTCATTGGCAGAGGTAAAGCTAACTCGAGGACAACTCGATCCAGGCAAGACTATTCGCGTGCTCTGTCCCGCAAAAAAAAGAAAGTTCCCGGCTCATGGCTTGACCACTGTCGTACTTCAGTGAAGTATGTAGAGCGACAAGGATGGCTCTCTTTCGGAACTCCTCTAATCAAACTGAGGTCAAATTCACTACCAGCTTCTTGTATCGGTGGGGTTTAACAGGAGATAAAATGTGCTTAATAGTGGGTGCGTAAAACAATGATATGCTGGCTGCCCTCCTGCATTTTGTGATGCTTTGTTTGGTAACAGGCTAAAAGCACTTTTTTCTCTCTATATGAAACAAAGAAAGGACCTGAAGCGTGCAAGGACTTAGTCCTATCTACACGGGCGCACACTGCTTTGCGCTTACATAAAAATGAAGGAAATTACACTGCGGCACTGAGGTGCAGTGCATTGGTGTACCAACACATTGTGCCAAAGAGTGATAGGACACGGTTTTGTGCTCACCAATTCCCCACGTGGCAAAGTCCTGATCACTGGAATACCACAGAATGGAGACCAGGCGGTTTTCCACAGGGAGAGAAGTGTGTGTGTGTGTGTGTGTGTGCGTGCGCGCACATGTGTGGGAGGGGGTTGGAAATTGGCAGGCGAGGCACACAGCAATTCTCACACAGTGTTCGTTTACCCTACCTGCACTAGCACGTACCGAGGTGCCTGTTCAGGTGGGTGTGAAAGATACCATGGAACTATTCAAAAAGAAAAGGAGGTTCCTCTCTCCAAGGGTCCTGGCCAATAATCCCGCCTTATAAAATCAGTCATTTACTTAGTAGCTGTTTGTGTGGGACGTATTGGCTGCCACATTTCCCCACAAATTAGTCACTGCACTTTACAGTACTGAACATGTTTTGTGAAGGAGAATTCCTCCCGATGTGAAAGGTGCTAGAGCAAATGCAAGGATTATTATTATTATAGATTCAATCTGCTGTGCTCTGGATAGTGCTCTCATAAAACTAAACGGGTGTCTACCAGAGTGTATTTGGTAACCGAATGCCAGTGATTGGATTCAAGTTAGAAATCCTATGTGTGTGCGTGTGTTCTAAACTGTACAAATACATCTGGATAGACAGAGTAGCACATCTGCCACCAATTGAGTGAAATGTCTGAATCAACTCTGATGCAGATGCTGCAGAAGTAGACACAGAGGAGAATCTGCATAAGGAAGACAATCTGAATGTTCGGCAGATTCTGTGAAAGCCTTAGCTTTGCTTGAGCAGCGCTCAATAAAACAATCCATCTCACCAGAGGAACCCCCACCTTTCTCAAACTCATAGCCTTAAGAATTACAGTGTCTTTAAAATTTAATGAAGGCTTTTGCGAGACATTGCTGTATTCAAATTGGCTGCTGCATTCACCTACAAAGCCACACAGTCACTATACTTTACACTAAAATCCTTCGAGGTGCTTTGAGACATCTTCCTCATTTGAAGGGCAAGGATTATTATAATTTAGTGGCTGGTTTTCTGTAGTGCTTAAAAACATCCAATCTTCAAATTAAGCAGGCCAGTAATAGTTTATTACACTCTTGAAGACTTAAACAACTTAATTAACTTTTAATTGATGGTTGAAGCAGGAAGTGTTGTTTTTTTCAAACACCGATTAGATAGTTTTCTTTTAGGAAATAACATTATACAGGATATAATATCTAGGTAGTTTAGGACACATGTGCATGTGACTGCAAGAAAGGTCGAAGGCGAACTAGAACTTGGTCTTTTTACGTCGAGCATTTCTTATGTCCCTAGTTAATAATCGCTGCAATTGATATAGTTCCTTATTATTTTACTGAGGCATCGCAAAGTGCTTCATAAAATTTTACGGTGAAGTGTAGTGACTGTGTAGGTAGTTATAAATTATTACAGGGACCAAAATACCTTGTAATTAGAAATAATACAGGAGATTGAGCCAAATGTATCACTCAGAAAGAATCATGGGAAGCTTATAGCACACAGAGGGAGGCCATTCAGACTATGCAGGTGTTCATTCGCTCACAGCGATACTGTAATCACGCTCATTCCTCATACTCTTAAATATTATTTTTTTCCTCAAATATTTGTTCAATTCCCTTTTAAATCCTGTCACGGATCAAGCTTCAATAGCAGGTGCGCAGCACAGCATTTATATTCAAAACTGTGTGAAACAAAACTCTCACCTCCCCCCCTTTCTCTTAATAAAATAAGCACAATCTGCGCAACACACGTTCACACATGTGGCTCTCATAAAACTCAAGAGCTTTTCTCCTCACACCATACAACAGACTGCTATAACTTTGGGGAAAGAAAAACCTTTCCTTATTTCCATTGTTTGGTGTAAATCACTGAGAGAGCTATAGTACACAGAGAGAATGGATGTGAACGCCATCTTAAAAACCCCTACAACCACTTTGGCAATGAGCGACAAATAACAACAAATTGCAATTACACAGCGCCTTTCACATCGGGAGGACGTACCAAAGTGCTGGACAGTGAAGGGTTTGCACACCACCTGGGGCTTGGACTCAAGAGGGGTGGAAGGCAAGGGAGATGGGGTTGGGCGGATGACTGAAAAGCATGGTCAAAGAGGAAGGTCTTGAGACGGGCCTTGAAGGAGGCAGGGGAGGGGGCGAAGCGGAGGGATTTGTGGATGGAGTTCCAAAGGGAGGGGGCAGAGAGGCTGGAGATATGACCGCCAGTGGTGGAGCGGGCAAGGCCGGGGACACGGAGCAGGCCAGTGCCCGGCTTGCGGAGTGAGCAGACAGGTTGGTATGGTGATAATAGGTAGAGAGGTAGAGGTTAATAATCCTTGCATTTGATATAGCGCCTTATCATGTATTCGAGACGTCTCAAAGCAACTTCACGGAGTAAAGTGAATTGACTATCTATTTTGTGGGCGTATCTTGACCTCGATCCTCTGGGGGATGCGGAGCCAGTGAAGACGGGCGAGGATGGGGATGATCGGCTCACGGAGCTTAGTGCGGGAGAGGACATGAGCTGCGGAGCCCCGAATAATCCTGGTGCGCACATACCTGGATGCACGTGTGTGCACTTGATGTACACATGGAGCAGTAAAGGTCACAGCAAACCTATATACAGCAAGGATTGCCTGATAGCTACATGGTGACTGCATTGCCTATTGCTTCAGCAAGCTGGTGAAAGCGCCCCTTTCCCCTCCCCTCACTCTTCAGCATCCTTTTGACACAACGGAGAGTTTTGAAAGGGATCACGACAGGCAGACGCACAAAATTACAGCTTCAAGGTATAATATTCCTTATTGATGAGTCTGTTTGAAGTTTAAGTTTAAATTTCAGCTACAGTAATGAAGAATCCTGATGTAATTAATTTTCTGACACCTCTGGTACATTTTTTTTTACTCCTTTACTGACCTGGAAGAAGTGTAAGATAACAGCTAATAGCAACACTGTTGAAAAGCAGTCAGTCTTTTCAACAGTAATAATAATAATAATCCTTGCATTTGATGTAGCACCTTATCATGTCTTCGAGACGTCTCAAAGCGCTTCACAGAATGTGCTGTAAAGTGAATTGACTGTGTATTTTGTGGCCTAATAATCTCAAACACAATAAAATCTACCTTTAAAGAACGGCTTAAAAAAAATAATAATGTGGTCACTCAATCCATGACTGTTTATGGGATATTGAGTGTGCAATTGGCTGCCGCGTTTCACCCACGAAATAGACAGTCAATTCACTTTACAGTATATTCTGTAAAGTGCTTTGAGACGTCTTGAAGACATGATAAGGTGCTATATCAAATGCAAAGATTACTATTATTGTGGTATTTAATCATTGTGTTTCACCTGGAGAAAGCTTTTCAATTGAAACGATTACCTGAGTAAAATTGTTTCCTGTATGTAAATGGAGATATAAACTGCATTGCTTTTATCTGCATCTCTTAGCCTGACAATTTTCTACTAATTGTCACCCAAGGTAGAGTTCAAATATTTTTTCTTGATTTCACCAAGAAAAAGTAACGAGTTCACAAGTTATAATGATAATAATAATAATCCTTGCATTTTATATAGCGCCTTATCAATGTCGCTTCTCAGATATATTGTAAAGTGGATTGACTGTGTATTTTGTGGAGGAAACACGTCAGCCAAATGTGCACAGCAATTGACATAATAATAATAATAATCCTTGCATTTGATTTTGTGTCTTATCACGTCTTCGAGTTGTTTCAAAGTGCTTCACAGAATATACTGTAGAGTGAATTGACTGTATATTTTGTGGATGAAAAGTGGCAGCCAATTGCGCACAGCAGCGTTCCACAAACAGTCATGGATTGAGTGACCGAATTTTTTTTATTCTTTCTTGAAGGGATTATTGCCTCTGGAAAAGCGATCTGCCAGTTGATTACCAACCGGGTTCCTACTTACTGCGAGGTAAACAGAGGCCTGTGGAGTAAGGAATTGAACCCGGTTCATCTCACTTGCAAGGCGACATGGGTTATTGTGCCCATCAATCAGCAAGATGTCACTGCGCAACTGCTCTGAGCAATCACTGCAAGTTGGAGCACCATTTGTACTATTACTACAGCACATCGCTGTGTGTCCCAGCACTAGTTTACTGCAGCATTGCACTGCATTACTCTAAGCCACAGCACCATTTTACTGCATCTTTACACTGCTTTACTGAATGCCTGAGCACTGACTGACTGCACACAGAGCGCTGTTACACTGCACTGTTGGAACTCCAGATTTACTACCCCTAGTGAAGTTCTTTTACTAATTTCATTATATTTATTTTCTGATTACAAAAACGGGCCTCTTTTGTCCCTTTTTGGTGCTTATCAGCAAGAGGAAGACCAGTGTTGGTTAATGCTGTATTTTCCAGCTCACGTAAGTCACACAGTCTCACCTACCCAGCCATTACTTTTCTCTCAAGAGAGTCAGGAGAGAGGAGAGAGAGAGAAAGAGAGAAAGAAAGAGAAGAGAGAGGAGGTTCATCCAGTCTACCTGAGTCCTGTAATTCAGTGGTTAGAGCATTTGCCTTGCAAGCGAGAGGACGTGGGACCGATTCCCAGCAGGGCGAAACATTGGGCAAGTTTCCTTACTCCACACGCCTCTGTTTAGTGAGCCGTAAGTAGGAACCTGGTCGTAAATCGATTGGCGGATCACTTTTCCGGGGGTAATAATCACTTCAAAAAAATAAAATGAAAATAAAAATTAATTATTATTTGGTCACTCAATCCACGTCTGTTTGTGGGACACTGCTGGGCGCAATTGACCACAAAATATACAGTCAATTTTCACCCACAAAATATACAGTCAATTCACTTTACAGTGTATCCTGTGAAGCGCTTTAAGATGTCTCGAAGACGTGATAAGGCGCTAAATCAAATGCAAGGATTATGATGGAGTGGAATCCAGTTCCAGTTAATAGGACTGTGACAGAAGCACACTTTAAACCAAAGTAAACAAGCAACTAGCTGTCGAGGAACGTATTTGTTGAACGCAATTTCACAACTGCGCAACGGTTACAGGCGAAGCTTTTTGTAATGCAAGATTGTGTTAACAGTTTTGATGGCAAATATAGAAAGTAGTAAATGAAATGATAATTTCAGTGTTTAAGGCTTGCAAGCCAGAGTCACAAGTTCCTCCAGCTCCCTGTCATTACCAAAACCACTTAGGCTTTGCAGAAATTGACATTGCAATAGGGAATTTTGCCTGAAGTTTATTTCAGCTAACCAGACTATTCATGTTATCGGAAAATACTTAGCAAATCAGAACATATTACAAATAAAGCAGCAGCCCGCTATTCTTGCAATTGTTAGTTGGGTCTTCCCTACCCTTTGGAACTCCATCCCACAGTCCTTTGCCTCGCTCCCTCCCTTGCCTCCTTCAAGACCTGAGTCAAGATCCTCCTCTTCAACTGCGCCTTTGGTCACCCTCCTACCCCCTACCCCTCCTGATCCCGACCCCAGCTTGGGTCCAAATCCCTGACTGCCCAGCGACGCAGGATATCCTCCCGACGTGAAAGGCACTATACAAAGTCACTTGTTGTCTCAGCTTTGCTCGGTTGATCGTATTCTTGTCCTTGAGTCAGAGGCCTTGGGTTCAAGCCCTACATTGGGAACTTTGAGCTCCTCAGCACTGTACTTCAATGCAGTATTGGGGAAGTATTGCATCGTCAGAGGTGCTTCTGCTGCAGTGATGAAGTTCTTTGGATGAGAAGGATGTCAAACAGAGGTTCCGTCCGTCCGTCTGTCTATTCAAGTGGACAAATCCATGCCACAACACTAGAAAGTAGAAGGGAGTTTCCTCTGGTGTCCTGGCCAATTGTCCAGAAAAATTGGTCATTCACTTCCTGACTGAGTGGGACTTTGCTGTGCGTAATTTAGCAGTCGCGTTCACCCACAAATATACAGTCACTACACTTAACTTTGAGATGTTTCAATAAGGTGCTATGTCTAAATGCAATTATTATTATTGTGCAGAACCTATGGAATCAAGTTGCTGGGTTACCTGCAAGTGATAAACGACAGAGGCAAATGTCTGGAAATCGCTAACAAGTTGCCAGGAGACCGAGTTCACCAGTTCTGCGATCAAGACAGTGTAACGCAACACCACGGCATCCAACTGCCCACATAGAGTGCGGCCAAACACTGCAATCAGCTGTGGACAGAAAGAAATCATTAAAATGGACAGATTCCTGGAGGACGGACGGACGGGGTGGTGGTGGGGAGAGGCAGCTAGAAGGGCAAGATCAATAATAAAAAAGAACGTGAATCTGGAAAGAGCACGGTAAGGTCTCACATTGCTGTCCTGCCGTTCAATCCTGTTTTAAACAGATTTCTCTGCTTCACTTTGATGATACCATCTTTTAATTTGTTTTCATAGAAGGTACTTTAGGCACTTTCTAGCTAAGTGACGGCCGGAGAAAATATAAGTCGGTGGAAATGTGACTGCTTTGCAGCAGTGACAACTTGCGTTTATATGGTTCCCTTCACGTGGGGTAGCGTCCCGGAGCGATTGACAGTGGCGGAGTCTGACCGCGAGCCAGGGGGAGGTGACTCAGCACGGATCAAAAAGCAAAGTCTTTAGGTGGGATTTGAAGGTGGGGAGGAGGGGTAATGGCGGAGGGATTGAGGGAGAGAGTTCCAGAATTTTGGGGCGTATTGGCTGAAGGCACTTCCACCGATGGTGGAGTGAAGGGGATGAGGGCCAAACAGGAGGCTGGAGCCAACCGAGCGGAGGAAACGGGTGGTGGAGTCGGGGGTTAAGCAGATCGGAGAGGCGGGGAGGTACGAGGGCATGAAGGGATTTGAAAATGAGTGAGAGGAGAAAGAGTTAAACTGGTCGATGAGACAACGTTATATTTAGGGTCTAATTAACGGATTATTTAATCACGGTTTTGCGTCGTTTTAGATCCGGTAACCAGATGTGCCTCGCGATGATCAACAGGACCACACAAGCTACTTTCGGGCGTGTTGGAGCAGAGTTTCCGTGGGTCAGTGTATGGGTGTCAGGACTGCCTGTTTGGGACTCAATCATTATGAAGGGACCCCATTTTGAAGACCCCCCCCAACGCCTTTCTTTAATCCCTGTGCTATGAAACAAGCAGCGGGTGGTAATAAATATTTGATACACCACATTACATAGCGGTACTTAAATTCAATGACTTCAAGGTGTTTTTTCCCCCCTTTCAAGGAGAATGAAAGATAAAACCGCTGCTATTTATGTGTGACATGCTCCTATTTGAGCACTTACCCTGTTTGTTGATGCATATCTCACCACGGCGCTCACAAAATCAAACACCGACAAGTGGCTGATTTCTTCCACAATGTAGAAATCAGTGAAGAGTGCGCTGAGGGTTTCCTGTAACAAAGCACAATCCTGTTATCCTGTTAAGCGCTGTGAGTCACTACCCCGCGTGAAGAGCACCAAGTTGTTGTCGATAAAACACGTCAGAAAAAAATATGTAAAAAAGCACTAATAATATTAGTGATAAAGTACACTGGAGCCAATATATATTTTAATGCTTATGCTCCTTTACCTGGAGATCATGCTGTCTACATGATAATAATCCTCGCATTTGATCTAGCACCTTATCACGTCTTCGAGATATCTCAACGGGCTTCACAGTATAGACTGGAAGGTGAATTGACTGTATATTTTTGTGGGCGAAGCCCAAAAAAAACAGTCGTAGATTGAGTGACCAAATTTTTTTTTGAAAAGGGATTATTACCCCCAGAAAAGCAATCCGCTAATCGATCAACCACCAGGTTCTTACTTACTGCTAGGTCAACAGAGGCGTGTGGAGGAAGGAAACTTGCCCAATGTTTCGCTCTGCCTGAGGATCGAACCCAGGTCCTCTTGCTTGCGAGGCGAGTGCCCTAACCAAGCCTCCACCCATCCTAATCCCCTATCCCATACCACTCTATTCGCTTCTCTTTCATTGTATGCAAAACACTTTTTTTTAAAAAACACACAAAACATAGCTTTATTTAGTTTTGCCAACAGCTTTGTAAATCTCTTGGTCCTTGTGTACAAAACATTTGCACTGCCAAATCTTTTGTTTCAAACAACAATTAAACCTTAGGGTGAGATTATAACTGAGATAGGTAATCTTGTTAAAGCTTTCAGCGTTTATTCATTTCCTGGTTATTTCACCCACTTTTATATTCATTCTCCCCTCCCGTTCCCCACTAACCCAAAGTACCAGATACCAACCAATAATAATAATACTAACCATTGCGTATGATATAGTGCCTTACCACGTTGTTGAGGCTTCTCAAAGTGCTTCACAGAATATACTGTAAAGTGAATTAACTGTTTATGTGAAGTCATGGTTTGAATGGAAGAAACATATCCGCAGTTCCCCTCCCCCAAGCCCAGCCACACACACGTGTGGACTAAATGAGATTGAAAATTGAAACCAAGTGTATGACCAATATACCCGGGCGATTATTGAGCTTTTAAGCGCTCTGAGGTGCTGCCTGGAGTGAACGGCGCTATATAAAGGCAAGTTGTTGTTGTTGCTGTTTTCCAGGACAGCAGGAGAGAAACTCCATTCTCTCGTCAAATAGTGCCACGGGGAAACACACAGAAGAGAGTCATTCAGCCCATTCCCACCCTTTACATCCATTCATAGAATCATAGAATATTATAGCATAGAAGGAGGCCATTCAGCCCATCGTGCCTGGGGCCGGCTCTTTGGAAGAGCGACCCAATCAGTCCCACTACCCCCCACTCTTTCCCTATAGCTCTACAAACATTCCCAGTTTTTCCCGCAATTCCCTTATATATTGTTTCTGTTCCAAATATTTGTCTAATGCATATTCATCACCGTTTCAAACGACCTTTACAGATGAGGTGTTGAATTTAAGAGAAGTTATAGAAGTGGCCTGAAATGCAATTGACGATACTGTTCTAATTTACAACTCTCTGCGCCCTTTCCCATCCTCTTTCTCTCCTTTCGTTTTTTTTTCTCTGTTGCCGTTCATGTTGTAATCGTAACAAAGGGAAGAGTATTAATCTCTTTTGTAGAAAACTAGTTCTTGAGCTTTTAACTCCCATCTCATCAGATAGAAGAGATTTAATTAGAGCTAAATCCCTTTAAAAATTCATGAATTTCTCCTCCCTTGTTTAAAGACAAGACAAAAAAAACCTCACGATTAACAGTGCTATCCTCCTGATGCACAGTGAATAACACACACACACAAAGAAATAACTTGTTTATATGAATAGCAAAGGGTGTGCTCACAGACAGAAGAAACAAAAGCTCTGGACACTCATCACTGATGCCAAAGGGATTGCTTTCTAACTGCAGACTTATTAGACTGATTACCAACTACAAGTAATTAATCACAGCCTAACCTTTGCTTCAGATACAAAGTGCGAGTTCTGCTGTGTCCCTGATTCTGAGCGGCCCACTCTGCCCTCGCTTTGATTAAAGGGAAGCATTGCTATTTTTTCTCTGCTTCTGCTCAGCGAGCAGGAAGGAGGACGAGGAGTAATTACCTTAAGCAAACAACACAATTTGCCTGAAGCTGCCACTTTAATGATCTGTTCACGAGGATAAAATAAAAGGGGGGTGGGGAGTGGTTGGGATAAGCACGGCTGGCAAAAAAGGGGTGAAGGTCTTCAGAACTTTTCAGCAGGTTTTGTGAAAATTGGTTGGGCCTCAACAGCCACCACTGACCTCTCTCTCCGCTGTTTAATGAATCGTGGCGTTTCAGAGTTAGCTGTAGCTTAGTGGTTAGAGCGCTCGCCTCTCAAGCGAAAGGACCTGGGTTCAATTCCCGGGCAGGGCAAACCATTAGGCAAGTTTCCTTAGTCCACATACCTCTGTTTACCTAGCAGTAAGTAGGAACCTGGTTGTTAGTCAATTGGCAGATCGCTTTCCAGGAGTAATAATCCACGACCGTTTGTGGGACATCGCAGTGCGCAATTGGCTGTCGTGTTTCACCTCCACAAATAATATACAGTCAATTCACATTACAGTATATTCTCTGAAGCGCTTTGAGACATCTCGAAGATGTGATGAGGCACTATATCAAAGGCAAGGATTATTATTATATTATTAACTCCCAGAATTATTTAAAAGTTGAGTATTCATTAGAAACACTGGGACCCACAAAGTGCCAGCGCTCTTCTACAGTTAAATAATGATAATAAATAAGCCTCGTGCTTGATACAGCGCCTTATCAAGTCATCGAGACCTCTTAAAGTGTTTCACATGATTTTGCTGTGAAGTGTGGAGACTGGGTACACGTAGGCGAATGGGACAGCCAATTTGTGCACAGAAGCTGCAGCAACCGGCTTTTTGGGTAAGACCATTTCAACAACCTGGTGAGCCCCTCTTTCTCTCCCCCAACCCCCTCCCTCTCTACCCCTCCCACCTCCCCACCCCTTGATATTTATTGAGAAGGACATCCCCAGGAGCGGAAAGTTCCAGATTGTGCTAATTATCGTCACGTGTCACATTATTCACTTCTATAGTTGTAGTCTGGTGCTCTGTGGGTGCCGAGATTGCTGACTGCTTTAGAATCACGACTTGCTGACATAAGGCATTGGTTTCCTCTGGAGAGTTATTTTTTCACAAGTGTATCTTCTGTCCTTATTGTTCCTAATTAATGGCATGGATTGAGAATAAAATAGGGCCTTCCAGAACAATTGTACGTTGAGTAGAGACAAATTAATCCCAGTGGATCTGGCAGGAGCAAGCAAGATTCATTTCTTTACTGGTTTCACACATATCCACGCTGAATGAGTGTATTATGATATATTAAGATGATATTAGTGGAGCAGGAAAAGATGCTGCTCAATTATATTTTCATCAGTTATGAATCTTCCTTTTTTGGCAAAGAATTAAAGTTAATAATCTCAGTTAATTTCAACCTCTGAGACTCAAATGTGGCCCCCGTGTGAAGTACACATTCATCAATAATAACACAGCAGCAAATTACAATTTGTTTATAAACGCCCACCCACATTATCGCGTTCACAAAAAAATCCATTCCACAAAACCTTTACATAGATTACTTTATGTTTAGCACCCACACAGACTCATGCACGCAGATGCACGCACATGCACATTTTGTTAAGATCCATTTGCACAAGTCAATACCTGGATGGATCCTGGTTGTACATTCTGTTTGTGTTCATCTTCCCAAATAAGATTGGCTATAAGATGTTGGATGACAGATAGGCAGCGATTCTAAAGCGAGACGTGATTAAAAAAAAACACAGATGAAATACCTAAAGTAACAAATGTCCAGGCATTTGAACCAACGGCAATACGAATATGAATGATAGCTGATTAATGAATGCTTAAGAGTCAATCACTTTGGCAGCTCAATACCTCAGCACATATGGGTTGCAAATCAATACTTATGGATTAATATAGTGGTCAGACGATTCAGTTTAGGAATTGGTTTTGAATATATGAGTCCATAAGTAAGTGACAATATTATTGCTTATTCCTTCAAAACTGGTTTCAAATCATGGGGTGTGCGCAGGGGAGTGGGGCTATTGAGCTAGTCATAGGGAGGCTTACTTTCCCACTATTGTGACGGAGAGAAGCATATGAATCCCAATACTGGTGCAGGACAGCTGAAGCCTTTGGACTGTTTAATGCAGATTCACCCTATCAACCTCCACTAAACCCTAAATATACACAGCACTACACCCCTAGAGTGTTTGACAATACAATCTAATGAAGGGGGACATCTGTTTGCATTATCGCGTATCGCTAATATCATGCAGATGAGTGCATTTGAAAAATTCTATGGCATTGACATTAACTTAAGTCTTATTTTCTTTCTGTTGCTTATCCATATTCACCCATCCATTAAACTGCGTTTGATTCAGTTTGAATGGCCCATGACAAGTGGTGGCCTATAAAATATAATACTGAACGCCAGTGTTAGCAAACAATATGCAAATATAGGTTTTACCAAAGCTGATCAAAAGAAATGAAATTACCAGCGAGATTATTCTGGGAAGCACTCTGCTGAATGGGGTGCCCTTCTCGAAGTGATCCCAAATTGAAGACAAGTCACTTTCCTACATGTGTGTAAAAAAAGAGAGGAGAATGTGTTTAAAGCTAAATTATTCCCCGCAAGTGCAAATATTTTCAGGGGTATCCACTTAGCTGTCGATTCATGTACTTCTGAAAACAACTCATTTATTTTTTAAAAAATTGCTCAATTAATTCCATTTTCCTTTCCCCCAGCGTCATTAACGCATTTGAATTTCGCAAGTATCGTAACCTGCAAAGGGAGATCACTCTGCAAACAAGCGCGCGGCTGGAACAACAATAATTAGTGTAAATTGCCTTTCCAAATCACAGCGGAGGAACAACTTTCAACATGCTGCTGTTGTGTGTCAGTGCTGAGCAATTTGAAGCATTATTAAGGGAGGTTTAAAAAACACGAAAGCCGCAAATCAGGGAATCAAAGCCATTCTAATGCAATCTGAGGGTGTGAAGTTTGGATTTAATAGTTAACACTCCTCTCTGCAGAGGGTCAGGGATTAGGCGTGGTGTGGGAGTTTCTTGCGGGTTCTTTCACACTGATACAAGCGACGAAGGGGGAAGCAGAAGTGGTGATTATTTTTTAACCTTTCGTCTGTTTCTCTTTGCTCAATCCAGCTCTGGATTTCTGCCTAATTAGTAGAGGAATTAGCAGATGGATTAAAGAGTTTGTTGCTAGCGGTTTGATGGGGATGATCTGGCCACATTACCGCTTTGACTGGAAAGACATCAACGGACTGAAATTCACAGGTTGGGACAGAGATTTCAATAGATTCGTCAAACTTATTTTCCAGCACATTTTCAAGCTAATTTTCAAGCGCTTTGCAAAGTGCGGCATATGATTTTGGCTTTTGCATTCAACTTTTTTTTTACGAAATATTCATGAATTATCATTTTTTCCATGTTTTTTTCAGAAGTTTTTTTTTAATAAAATAATAAGTCCTGTAGCTGCTTTTGATTACATTGGTTTAATATGTTGCGCAGTTCTGGGCTAGAGCACCCTTTTTTTTTTGCCAAGTGCGTTTTCATTGAAATCTCTGCAGTAAATCTTCTTCTTTCGTGAGCATATTGCCTAGTCGTTTCCTTCGCTCAGCGAGCAACGACTGGTCTGCTTCATGTCTCCCCCGCCCTATCCACTCCACCAATGGTAGGTGGGCTTTTAGCAATTCAGCCACACTCTCTGCAACTCTGTCCCGGTGTCCCATCCGACTTGTTCCCTCCATTCCCTATTTCAAGGTACATCTCAAAAACGTAACCATTTGTCTGCACTTTTAGTCATCTTGTCCCATCCCCATCCTGCTGACTCCCATCCCAACTTGGATACCCATCCAAGGCGCTATAATAAACGTAATTGTATTGTAAGTGACGGGATATAGCCACAAGTTTTGGCAAGGAATTTAACATAACGCTCTTGGCACTTTGAGGAAAGGCAGCAAATGAACTTAATTGCAAAATTAGTAATCAGAATAAAGGCAATTTAAAAGGATCCACTGCAATTTTTTTTGGGAATGACAGATAATGCTCACTCACTCCACAGCTGTTTGTGGGGACGCTGCTGTGCGCAATTGGCTGCCGCGTTTCGCCCACCAAAATATACAGTCAATTCACTTTTCAGTATATTTCTGTGAAGCCCTTTGAGTCGTCTCGAAAACGTGACAAGGCGCCATATCAAATGCAAGGATTATTATTATAACAATATTATTATAAATTCTGTGACAAGGAGCTCACAACGATCTTGTAAGTTAAACAACTGATGCTGAGGATATCGCTGACCACAAGCCCATAGCTCCACAACTCCTGAATGTCGGCTGAACCCCAAGATTGATTGAATCTCCGCCTTAGATTCTCTGCCAGCAACTCACTGTTCTTTAAGTAAACTATTATCAAAAGAAATCCCAGCAATTCTTCCTGCCTGCACTGAGCGAACATGGTGGCGGAAATGGCACATGCTTGAAATGCTAACAAAGTTGATTCCGATGTAAGACTTCAAGGCATTTGGTGCTGGACTGTTAACAAGATTTTGTTGGCAGTGGATTCCCAGGAAATAAATTACTCAGCGTTTATTACAGGTTAATATTCCATGTCCTTTTCAGTCCTGCAGCAACCAAAAGAATATATTTCAACTCTGCTGACTACCATTTATGCTCATGATACAATATGCAGTATTAACACCTGACAGTTCTTACAGTTGCTCACAGACTTATGTCCAAGGGTCAACGGTTTTAACATAATAAACCATTCCCCGTCAGCAACACGCATTTAAGACCATTGTTGAACAGTTGCTTTTAACAGGAGACTCTGCGGGCACAAAACAAATGGGTATTTAAATGGAAGGTTATTTTGTACAGTCAAGGGAAAAGAACTTGCTTGGTTCTCATCGTTGACTCAATATTAATTGCGAGTAGCTAAATCCAGCCATCAAGACAGTGATAGTTCAATTTCTTGAATCCGCTTTGAAGCATTCGCAATCCATCTGAACCACTCCTGGGTGTGGGTTTACAGGATTCCTAATGAAGCTTCTCTCCCTGTTGTAATCAACGCCAATTGCACACAGCAGTGTCTCAAAAACAGTCATGGATTGAGTGACCAAATTATTATTATTATAATTTTTTGGAGGGATTAATACTCCCAGAAAGTGATCGTCCAATCGACTGACAACTGGGTTCCAACTTACTGCTAGATAAACAGAGACATGTGGAGTAAGGAAACTTGTCCAAGGTTTCGTCCTACCCGGGAATCAAACCCAACCCAGGTTCTCTCGCTAGGAAGGAGAATGCTCTAGCCAATATGCTACAGGACACCACGACCCCAGGACTCCACTTGGTCTTAGCCTTAAACCCTGTCATAAATTTTAGGATAGCGTGGAACTTTCGAAAAATCTTAAATGAAATCCTTATCTTGAAGCCATTCTTCCACAATTTGTGTTAAGGAACCTGATGAGAAATCCCAATCTCTCCCCCAAAAGGCTGTGGATACTGGATCCATTCATATTTTCAAGACTGAGGTGGATATATATTTGTTACAACAACAACAACTTGGATTTATATAGCTCCCTCCACACCAGACTGCGTCTCAGAGCGCTTTACAGTTTAGGATCCCGGGACCGAGCCGGGGGGCGTGGGGGGGGGGCGCGAGGGGGAGGAAGGTGACCAAAGATGCGGTCGAAAAAAAAGGTCTTCAGCAGAGACCTAAAAATGGGAAGGGAGGGAGCGAGATGAAGGGCGTGAGGAAGGCAGTTCCAGAGCCTCAGGGCATAGTGGCTGAAGGCACCGCCGCCGCGGAGGACTCGGGCGACAAGGAGGAGGCCAGACCCGGAGAAACAAAAGCAACGGGGACTGTGCTGAGAAGAGAGGAGGTCAGAGAGGTAGAGGAGTGCAGGGACTTGAATACGAGGGTGAGGATCTTGAAATCGATGTTAGGTCAGGGTATCGAGGGATACGGGGCAAGGACAGGTAATTCGAGTTGAGGTACGGATCAGCCATGATCTTATAGAATGACAGAACAGGCTCAAGGAGCTGAATGGCCTACTCCTGTTTCTATATTTCTATGATATGAAACTTGAAGTAAGCTGTTAGCAATAAGGAACCCTGGAGGCTGGATGCCAACAGATTCAAATAATGCTCTGACAGAGAGGTTTGGATGTGAAAGTTTCTTTCCCTGTAATCTGATTGCTACATCCAAATTGTTTCCATATTTGTTAAACCTTTCTGATGTTTGAACCTTATTATTTCTGGTATCCCACTCATGGAGCCTACATATGGTAATGTGATGCCGGTATTGGTGAAAGAGACAAATATCAGTGGAATGTAAAAACACGTCTAAGTGATGTGAACATGATGGAGGGAGGGAATCTTTTTCAATGAAATCAATGAGTAATGAGGAAATAAACTGATCTGGCATTACATATCCTTGTAAAATTCAATTAGAGAATTGTGACACTTTATTTTTAAGATCTGGGTCAAACACTTTTTATCCTGTTTGGTTGCAATGTTAATTTATTCGCCACATTAAACCTAAACATATGTGTAGTGATTTTAATAACTGATTCAAGCTGTTATACTTTTTTTGGTGAGCACCCAAACAAGAGGAGGCACAGAAAAGGAATTACTTTTTCTGTCTGGTGATGTCAACTCTGATCTGGATTTGGAGCTCGCGCTCTCGGCTGACACTCCATTATTATTATTATTATTATTGCACTGTTGGCGGTTCCGGACTTTGTTTGAGATGTTAAACTGAGGTCCCGTCTGTGCGTATTCGGGTTTACGTTAAAGATCCTGTCACACTATTGGAGAAGAGAAGGGAGTTTTTCTCTCCCAGCCCAACAATCCCCCAAATAAAGTTCTTTGACCGTGCCTTCAGCTCCCCTCTCGACTCTCTACCCCCTCCTCGCTCCCTCCCTTCCCTCCCCTCACCCTGACCATTTCCCCCCTCCTCGCTCCCTCCCTTCCCTCCCCTCACCCTGACCATTTCCCCCCTGCTCGGGTCATGACCCAACTGTGCAGCGCCTTGGGACGTCCTCCTGACGTGAAAGGCGCTTTATAAATGGAATCTTGTTGTTGTTGTTGTTGTTGTAGTCCGGTTCCTTAGCCAGGCGGGTTCACAGTGTTCCAGGGCTGATGACAGCACAGCCCAGCCTGGCTCATCGTCAGGACCTGGAAGGGCAGACCAGTCAATGGGGGCAGGGAGTCATCCCACTTGGCTCCTGTTAACCCTGCAAGCCAAAGCCCTAACGAGTAGGGTGGTCCTGGCTGGACAAGCAGTGGGAAAAGCTTACCAGACAGCGATATCAATGGCAAGCTATGCGGTTTTAGCTGGTTAGACTTCAGTAGTTACCCAAACGCACACTCTGGGTCACCCCAAGCCTTGTCCCTTTGCCAACGTGCCCTTAATACTTTCTGGAATTAGATAAGCAGGATGCGTCACTCAATCCATAACATGCATCCAGGGAGAGAGCGCAGATTCCATTCCAACAATCTATCCGTGAGATTTCCATGTGTAGGTGGGAGGCATGGAAATCTCAGCTTGGTTTGGA